ATCAGTTCTCTCCACACGCGACACCTGTCCAATGCGGGTCCCAGCTGTCCTCCACTCTGACTCCGCACTAGCACACTCCAACCACTCCGAGCACGACACGTGGCGAACTGCCTCCATCTTCCAACCGTAGCGTGACACGTGTCCCCTTGATGTTGAATCCGAATTTCTTCCCCAAAAATCAGAGTAAATTACCGGATTTCTTCCCCAAATTAAATATATGATTTCTCCTAATTTATGTGTAATTTTATTTTGTTTCCTTTCCTTTGTAATTTTCTATTTTTATTGTTTGTTTCCTTATTTGACAGGCAACCTCTAAACACTATAAATAAGAGGGTTTGCCTAAGGTTTAAGGAGCTTGGAATATTTAGTTTTATGTCGTCTTGCTGTCAGTCTCATATTTTCTCTCTAGAACTTGTGAGAATGTTGTGCAAGCTAGGCTAGAGTTCTCTTGGTGAGGTTAGAGATGAACTTTTGTTAGTAACCCAATTCGGGCTTTTGATTTCTTGTGCTGTAAACTTCAACATCCGAATGAATTAAATCTCATATATCTTTCTTTTATTTTTTAAAATATTGTGTGCCAATTTTTATATAAGTTTAGTCATGCTTTTCTTATGTAATTCTGTTACGCATTGTTTTGTTATTTAAATTATTTTACAAATTATCTTTTACTGCAATATTGTCAAATTGATATAATGTCGATTTTTGATAACTTGTAATGATAATATTTCTAGAGTTAACATAGAGATTTAATTTATTCGATCATTTTATTTTGTGAATCAAAACTTAAATTGGAAAATGAAACATTAAGGATTCTCAACACCTTACCATTTTTATTACTGAATTTCTTCCACACAAATCTTCTCTTCTCTTTATTTGCAACAAAGTCTACAAAAATACACCAACTTCAAATTAAATGTCCATCTTTTTAGGATTGGAAGCTATGAGGGCAACATTTCTCTCTCTTATTCATGCACATTTAAGGCTTTTATCTGCCCTTTCTTTCTTGTATTCCTTCTTCATCACAACATGCACATGGGTGCCTGCAGGATGATCTCTAATATCTATGGTTCCTTTCAATATGATTTTCTAAGTCGTTGGCTAATATGAGAAAACGCTTTCAACAAATTCATATTATTAATCAGATATTTTCTTTATGAAAAATTCTTCTAAAAATAGGGGTATAGTAGCTTGTTAAAGGATAACATCATTGTTCCTCATGACTCATATTAACAAACCCGTCGTACATATATAAAATATTAAGGATTAATTATAAAAATTTCTCTCAAATTATGACCATTGTAACATACCGTCTATCGATATTTATAACGTAACAATTAACATCTGTGCCCCTGAAATATGAAATGTTAACAAAAAATCCTTCTCCATTAGGAATCAACAGTTGTCACACATATATTAATTTTTCTCAAATAATTTGGTGCAAAATTACTCTTCTACTCATCACTTTTAAATTTAAATTTTTTAAAAACATATTTTAATTTTCAATTAATATGATAATAAACAAAACAAAACAATAAAACAAAATTTTTAATCTTCCCTCTTCTTATTAATTAATTAATTGAAATTCTTTCAGAAAAAAATTAAAACTAATAATTTTTAAATTTACAATATATATTTTTTAACTTAACCCACAATATATTTTTAATAGCGTTTTTCAAAATACCAACATTCTTAAAAAAATGGTTATATATATAGTATATACTACATGTAAATTAGAATTGAAAAATAGTTTTTTTCAACATTTAATATTTTTCTACGATTTTATATTTGTTAAGAATATATATAATTACAAAAATACCCCCGGATTACAAATCATAGATTAGTTTTTTTGTTAAAAACTTTAACAAAAGGAGATTTTTTTTTATTAACGATTCATAATTTAGAGAGAACGGATGTTACGTTTTGTATATCAAGAGGCAAAGTGTTACACATGTCATAATTTGAGGAGAACTTTTATAATTAATCCAAATATTAACCACTTATTTTAGAGAAAAAAAAAACGTCTAATATATGTAGTAACCCTTATTGTCACTTTACCCACGTGAACTTTTTGTGCCTTAACAAATGATAAGTCCCTTTGAACTTTTAATTTCAACAGTTATTCTCTTAGATTGTCTTTGCAAAAGTGGTTCAAATTTATAACCGCGTTTTATAAATTGACGATAAAAAAACTGAGTTAATTTTTAAAAATTAATAGTTAAGAAGACAATTAATTTGTCAATGCATAACAAATTTAAAGAGTAAAGTGCTACATTATAAGTTGGAACGAATTATAACTGTTTTAGAAGTTTCGAGAGTTTATTGTTGTAATTAATTGTTTAGAGGACAATTTATCATAGTACAAAAGTTTAGTGGTATAGAGCTAAAAAGTCTTGTCTTATAAGTATATATGGCATTGGACATGGTGTGTAACTAAACAATAAATTCTATCCGTCAAGGCTGACCAATTATTTAGACAATTATGCTTTTGTATTCCTTTCAGTCCCATGTGTGATTCCAGTGATTGTAATGCCCTTTTGAGGTCTAGTTGTACGTACAATGATATATCCAATAATTTAAATTACTGTTCGCATTTATAGTTTTGCCAATATTCTACAGGATTATGCATATGTTTGTGAACATATATAATATATTGCATGAAGTAGTTTACTAGATTTTGGTTTCTGCTGGAATGAAAGGGAGAGAAGCGACCATATGGGATCCACCTTGGTTGTAAGATGGCTACAGAATTGAATATCGCCACCCAACTTTTTTATACATATATAAATATATATATATATATATATATATAGGCACACACGCACATATATATAAACATAACTATATGTGTGTACATATATATATAGATATAACATACTGGTGTGGCTTTCACGTGTCATATCATGAATGAATGTTGAAGTTCCCAACATTCCCAGCGGACGTTATTACAATAACAACTATATATATATATATATATATATATATATCATGTATTTTTGCCGTTAATTAAGCGCGCACACATCCTATACATTATCACTCATGTGTATATATATAGTCGTCACGCACACATCCTATACATTATTACTCATGTATATATAGTCGTCAATCTTCTACTAATTAGTCCTAAACACCTATAGGGTCATAAAGATATAATTAGTCGCAGCAATTTGTTTAAATTGTCTTCTATAACTTTTCCATGATTAGTACAGACGTATATACATGTTGTTGCTTATATATACACCATGAAATTTGTTTGTTATATGTGACAATGTCTTTATACGTACGGTGTAAAAATATTATTAAGAATTTACTTGCTGAAGACCAATATCGATCACATCTTTCAAAAGAATTGTTAGAAATTAGTATAAGTATTATGTTGCACCTTCGATATCTACATGCAACAGTGCACAACATGATCGGAAACAAATAAACCCCTAGATTATATTATACTTTTATCCTACAAACAAAATAGTATATACTCTCGTGCTTAAACAATTATATAGACTTCCCAATTTGGGAAACCAAAAAAAAAAAAAAAAAGTTGAAAAGAATACATATAATCGAACATATGTATAATCTGCTCATATATACTTTATATTTATGCCTATTGTCTCGGAGAACAACTGATTAACGTTTGTGGTCCCTTCCAAAGAGAAAGAAAAATAGCCAAATAATCATAGATAATACTCTCTTTGACTTATAATATGGTCAGGCAAGTAATTTTGGGTTTATGTATTAACAATAAAAGCACACTTAATTGAGTTTTCAAATGTGTATGTTCCTATCAGAAGCACGCATTTTCATGTAGGACCTTTAGTTTTTAAGGCTTGTTTGTTTAACTGAGTTCTTATTTTTATTTTTAGTTCCTAATAAAAGGGAGTAAAAGTTGTGATTTTCAGTAAATATTTGGAGTCATATTTTAATTTTATAAATTAACATAATAGGTTAAAATAATTAAATTTTTTTTTTTGATAAACAATAAAAATCTCAAAATGAAGTTTATAATATCTTACTGTGCATCTATAACTCTGTAAGTGTTCCAAAGTCTATTCATTAGAGTGATTTTAGAAATCATATTTGTGGTTTTGATTGGAAACTCATATCATTTAAACACTTTTAAAAACAATTTTTAGACTTAGAAAGTCAAAAACAACTTTTATAAAACCCTATCAAACATGCCCTAAATCATGAAGAACTAGATGACAACTGAAGCTCAAGATACGTAACCTCACAAGTGAGGCAAACGTGGATTTTAATAGCAACTTGAGATTAGAAAAAAAAAAAAAGGGGTAATTTATTAAAAGAAAGCTCCAAAAAACATGAAAGACCACTCAGTTGTAAATCAAGAGAACACACATGCGAACCAAATCAAAAAACCAAAAAGTAGTGAGGAATTTGTAGGTTATAGACAACATTGGTGGTTAGAAATTATCGGTTTCCTACTGATAAGTCGCTCTTGAGTCCAAAACCAAATGTCATGGACAAATCAGAATCTCACTTTTTATGTTCTTCTGCTGTTTTGCCTTTTAATGACACTAAAGGATATGGATATATGCCCTTGTTTCATGCAATTTTCATAAAAGAGAAATGGGAATGTGGTAATTAATTGGTACATTATGCACATTTATACTGACTATGAATGTAATTTATAAATGGGGAATATGCATATGTAAGAATGGTTTTACAATGGTACCTAGATCAGTCAAGTACGTGTCATTATTTTCGTATACTCATGTAATAAATAAATACAAAAAATTTATAAATTGCCCGTATAGCATTTGACAAATATAGTCCAACACATGTAATAATGAATATTACTGTTACACTTAAACAAATCACATATGTATTAACGATGTTGCACATAAATATTTTACCTATATATAAAATCTACAAAAACACACACCGACATGCATATTTAAATAAATAATCTGGTAGGTGATGATGATGTACTAAAAATATAACCACAAGGACAAAAATTTAAGTGTTTCCAAAACCTTCTCATATTGACATGCAATAATACTTGTGTACAGCAAGAGACAGTAAAATGAATGTTGTGCAAAAGTATAGTGCAACAAGCAAACACTAGAGTAGTACTACAATCTTCTATAGCATGAAAAAGATAATATTGTACATACCATAATCAAAACCTTTGACCAACCAGAGCAAAGTGTACTGAGCTAGGAGAAAACTCTTATTCTGACTTGAGAAAGAAAAAAGCGTCGTGAAAAGACGATTTTATTGCAGAATATATACATACATCATGATATATCAAACGTTTGACGATTTTGTAATCTCCTTGCTAGTAGTACTACTTCTACAAGTAGACTCAGCAACTCTCACTGACTTCTGGCTCTTACACCCCAATATCCCACCACCACTTTTGGACGCCTTATATCTTCTACTACTCGCAGAAATCTTCTTTTCGTCGTAGTCAGAGATGATTGAGCCGAGATCCATAGCGCTGGCCGTGACGACGCTCCACTCGATACTAGCCTCGCTCGGCGCGTACACCCCGGGGTTGTTGTTCGGCGTCGCGCATAGCGATCTAGTGGCGGTACTCCCCACGGTTATGTTCTCGATCTCGAACAGATCCGAGCTGGCGTCGCTGTCGATGTCCTGATCATGGCTCACCGGTCGACCGGTCCCGGCCTTGGGCGGAACCTTCTTCTGAGGTTTCGTCGGAATCGCGTCCCAAGTTAGGACCGACAGCTTCCTCTCCAGGTTGATCGCCACATCGTCGGCCGCCGCGGCAGCCTTCGTCGTTTTGGACCCGAAAACCTCCAAAGACATCCTCGGAGGTTCTTGGAAATCTTTTTGTTGTTGTAGATAACGATGATGATGATGATGATGATCACTAGTAGTACTACTACTAGTCTTCTTATTTTCTTCTGTAGTGGTACTAAGAATAGGAAAAGCGCAATGATCTTCAGATCTCTTCGCCGTCCTCGCCGAGTAGCGAAAACTATGTTGATGATCCTTATCACCACCACCATCATGATCAACTAATTTTCTGTTTGGTTGCTGGGAAAGTTTACTGGTTTCGTTAACTTTTTCCCTGACAACAACATCATGATGATGATTATTTTCTCCACCTTCTGATCTTCCTTGAGATTCTTGCTTGGTCACATAAACCGATTTCTCGTCGGAACAAGACCCGGCGCAGCCAAGAGTAGCGAAAATGAGCCTCGTTTTCGATCTATTCCGAGAAGGGTTTCTCGCCACGGAACTAATATTATTAGTACTACTACTAGCCCTTAACAACAAAGCTGTACTTCTGCTGTTCCAGCTCATCTCCGAGCAGGCGCTTGGCGTCCCCGGCGCCCGGTTAATTACGCTTTTCTCTCCGTCCCCGCCGCCTCCGCCGCCGCCGCCGCCACCGCCGCCGAGATGATGATGGTGATCAGGATGTAATTTTCCTTCATCTTCTTGATTCATCAACATATTGAAGTATTTTTCTGCACCAAACACGCTTATCTCACCTTGATCTTGATGATGATGAGATTTGATTTTTCTATCTAGGCCAAAGGAAGAGCGAGTAGTAGTACTACTAGTACTTTTCTGGGTCAGGCTTTGTTCTGATCTGAGATAAGAGAAAGAGGCGTCTCTGAGACTATCTCCACCGTTGGTGAAATCATCCATGGTTTGAGGGATAGGAGAGAAAATATGATTTGTTTTTGTGGGTGAGAATTGGTTATGGGAAAGTTGAGTTGAAATATGTGACTATAAGATGACGATCATAAATGGTCATGAAATCGGAAGTGATGAGAAGTTATATATATATATATATATACATAGTATATAAGAGAAAAGTATTGGCTAACCAATATTTTTGTGTCATGTATATATAAGTAGTAGAGGCTTAATTTGAGGAATGAGAAAACTGCTAAACTTGGTTTTGAAAATGGGTCCTACGGTTTTCTTGTGGAACTTAATTGTCATAATGTCACACCCCTTTTTTTGCCAGATGAATTTGCCTTGTACTTTAAATTTTGTGACTGACTGGAAATACATATATATGTATGTATATGCGTGTATATATATAACAAATGTCGAGGGTAAAATCTTTTCACATCACTACTAAATTTTCATATTTAATGATAACGACCAGTAAAAAAAATTATCTATATACACATGACATAGATAAAAACAGAGAGAATTTTGATAGTGTAACACCTAAAATAAATAATAATATATACATGAATAGCATTAAATAGCACCATTTTGTTTGCTATAAGTTCTGCAAAAAAAAAACTATGGAGTAACTCATCTCATATATTGATTTCCGGTACTAGACACCACTGACGCGGTATAATGTTAATTTGATGTATAACTATCATGTGTCTCTTGCATGAAATAGGTGTATGGTTAAATATTGATAAAAATGATTGTTAAATATCACAAAATTTAAAATATAATTAACTTATTTCCTATACTTGTTTTATGGACAGCAAAGTGACAAGTGGTCTGATGAGTTGGCAATCAATAATACTATTATTGGATGGTCTTAAATTGTTGTTTCATCGCTATTAGCATGGCAAAATGAGACCAATATATAGGATTCAAACGGTTGTTGTTGATTTGAGTAAACTACATACTATATTCCAAAAGAAAAAAAATATCCACACTTTTTTTTTTTTTGAATATGGCCTGTGCAAAGCTGAAAAGAAGCCTCCATTATTTGTTTCAAGCAACAAAATTAAAGAAAATGAAATGAAGCCTCCTTTAATTTGTTTGCTTATTGTTATTAACTAGAACCACTTGGCTGTGGAAGAAATGTGGATTTCTTAACAACCAATAACATTTTTCTCCCCTCTAAAAAAAAAAAAAAACAAAAAACAAAGAAAGTAAAAGATCATGACCAACAACAACTCGGGGTAGAAGCAAGTGTTTTTCTCTCTCTTTCTTTTTGTTTATTTCTTTTCAATTAGAAAATTACCTTATCGCTTCTCACATTCAACTATTTCAGCGGGACACTTTCAGGCATTCCAGGATTAAATTTTGTTACGTTATTGAGCAAAAAATTCATATTTCTTAAAAAGTTTCTAATTAATTCCTCAACATAATCAACTTTAACGCTGATTAGTTCTCCAATTTCTTCTCACAAGTTGACTAATTTCTGTTATCACCCTTGTCATTCTCATACCCATTCATTAACCATAAATGCAGAAAGAATGTGTGACTAGGAAAATGGCTAAAATCAAGAAAACTGTCGGTAAACATTGAATTGGGCAGCCAAAGTTTTAGTATTTATTATATTCCAACTTTCATTCTCTAAAATAAATGTTCCTATTATCAATCATCTGTTTTGGACCATTCATTAAATCTTTCACTTCTTCTGGAGTATCAGTTTTGTTTATGAGAGAAATTATCAGTTAATATTTAAAAGATAAACAAAAGTTGTTACTGCTGAAAATTTTAGAGCCAATAATGACACAAAAAAAGGAGTCAATAAAAGAGCACTCATGATTGTTAGTATTTTAACAAAAAATATTTAAGGCCATCTAGAGCCTTAACTAGATAGAAACATGAAAAAATTGACTTCCTATAACATGTTGCTGAATAGAAATGTTTTTTCAGGCGCTTAACTAAATGTTCTGTATTTACCGCAAAAACACAGGAGATTTTCAACAAGAAATGCAGCGAAAAAATGGACCATGTCCCTCGGCTTCTGAGGGTCCGGAAGCCACAGAAGAAATTTCTGCGAATATTAATCAGGGACAATGCAATTTTCCTGTGCCAATTGTTTTACTTCACCAGAGTTTTTCCTATTTATATTTTCTGTTCAGTTTGAGGATGGGGAGTTGTTTTCACCTGCAACCCAGTACTTCTTGACAGCAAACAATACCTTTTCTGGAACAAGAGGACCATCTTCATGATCCACTATTTTAGTGTTCCACCTCATTCCTCTCACAATTCTCCTCACCCTGATTAGCACATCCTCTTGGTCACGGAAGATTACTGCACCTTCGGGTCTTAAGATTCGATCCATTTCGAGAAGAATGTCTACGGGATCACACCTGCATAGGTCTTTTTATGTCAGCAAATAGAACAAGTATATGTAGCAGGTTTGTCCAACCGCCAAAAACATCAACATGCAGGAGATAACCAGATGGTTTTCTGAACAATTATTTTGTGTTTAACCATTTAAAGTGACTTTGCATCTGTGAAACATAGCAAAAAGATGAGTCATTACTTATCCTTGTACAAGCTGAAAACACCATTTGCGTGAATAAGGTCATATGTCCTGGGATATGTGGAGAAAGCTTCACACCTGGGGGAAAAGAGCGAGCATTATCAGACAAAAAGGATGATATAGCATATGGGGAGACACATATTAAAGAATATTTGCAAAAGTACCCAGTTGAAACTTAATATCACAAGCACAAGTGACGCATGTTACGGCTTGCAAATTGCAAAGCTAGCATTATGGCATGACATTCAAAGTAAAAAGAAAAACGAAAGAGAGATAAAGAAAAATATTTTGAAGCTACAATCACCATTTTCCGTGTTCTTAGTAATAAAGAAAAATATAGTCTGAGCACAAGGGCATTGAAAAATAATACTTTTTTTTGTAACTATTTTCAGCTACAGCTATTGATTAGTTGAAAAATGTTCCACTCAGTCAATGTCCAAAAAATAAGAATTTGCAGGGAAAACTGATGGCAAAGAATCAACACTTGTATTTGTCTATATTTAACGTAAAAGCAATCCAAGTGAGAAGATACACGTTCGAGAAGTTACCAATCATGGTATACGCCAATCAATCCACGCTCATATACGACACCAAGAGTGTCTTTCTCAGCTATTGTAGGCATCACATTCATAACCCACAATTTCGGAGATTCAAGAGCAGCAGCAAAACTTCCCAAACCCGCATTCATATCCATGATGTTGCGATATCTGCCAGTGTCGATGAGTTTGTTAATTCTCCTATAAGCATTCACATGCTTCTTCCACAACCGATTATCATCGTGGTAGGTCTTGGCAGAAACTCCAGGGATGGATCCACTGGATATTCTGAAAGGTACAGAATTGAGTCTCTCAGGAAATGGCTTCAATGTCCCACCAGCAACATTGTCCCAATCAATTGTATCGGGATAAGGAGTCACACATCCCTCCATCTTCTTGTACCTAGTAAAGGTCAGAAGATAAATATTTCAGAACAAGTTCAAAATATTCAAGCACTGATCATAAATAACTCAGTAAATAGTAATCCACAGTGGCATACCAGACACTATCAGATTCAGTAGTTTCGCACATAGTAGGTTGGGGGTCTTGGTTACGACACTGTTCGTAATTTTCCCTTTTCCTCCATATTGCAATTTCACCCTTCTCATGTTTCTTTTCCCAGCAAAGGAGGTTGGCAATCACTTCAATCTTCCTTTGCTCCTCTTCAAGCTCTTCTTCGAATCTTTTCCAAGATTTGTAATCAGTCCTCCAGTTGATTGGTGGACCAGAAAGCACCCAGTAACCACCAGGTCTAAGAACTCGATCGACTTCCTTCATGTACATCCCATCTACAGATAGAAGTCCACTGATGGGGTTACGCACAATTCCTCGATGTTACTATGAATACTCGAATGTAAAGTTGAAAAACAAGTGAAAATGAAGACTCTGAACTGAAAAATGGACATATATTGACATAATTAGCTTTAGAAACTGAGTCTTTTTCTCACCATTCGCACCCCACGGAATGAGGCAACGAGAACAGTGGGCCATGTCAAAGGCTCTAGATGGATATGGCAACCTTATAGTTCCAAGAACGTCAATAACAGCTGGTACACCTCTTTCGAGTGCAAACTGAACTTGTGCTTCATGAGAGTCTCTTGGTGCAAATGACATGGCTGTGACATTCCTTTTGAACAGGTATGCGCCCCAACTTGCAACCTACTCACCATCCTTAGTCAATAAATCAATCAAAAAACACAAATATATATGCCAAGCAGCCAAAGGGGCTAAGAAAAAAACATGAGAAGAATTGAAACAAAAGCAGCTCTAAAAAATTTATTCCACTAGGAGTGGAAGAAAAAGTGACAATATTGAAGTGTAAAGAAATGCAGGCATTACATGATGACCAACAGAGCACATCAAACCAAAATAAGTACATCGGAGATGTATTGTACTCACCCCACAGCCTGTATCCAGTGCAGTTCTAACCATCCCATTGTCAAACGGGATTACATTCGCGAGTTCATCGATATACACATCTGCTCCCTCAGGAAACTGAGTACCACCGCCAGGGAATTTAAACACGTTTCCCTCATATTGAATCCAGTTCTGAACAGCCTTCTCAACAGTCAAGCTCCTATATGGAGCATTTGCAAAAGGCACATAATCACGACTTTTGGGCCATGGAAAAGGGGTCACATACCCTGCAGGTGCTGGAACAAGGCAGCGCAGTTTCTCTTCTTCAGGTGGGCAATGCCTTTCCCTGTAGATCATATTTTCACGGGGAAACCTCATTGCCCTTGTTTGATCTTGACACGGCGTGTAGTCGATATATTGAGCTTTGCAGGGTTTAAACTCCTCGACTTCTTCAGAATCATCACTCCCGACATCATTGCCATGATGAGTCTCATAGTTCAAGTTAGAAAGGACACTGCAGTCTGTCTGTCTGTTGACCAAATCAGCAATCCTATCTCCCTTTCCCGAACCACTTCGCTGCCAAGCACCCAATATGTAGAAGAAACAACATAGGCCTGCTATAATGAAAATTGACATCGAATTGCGACGTCTGTTGTCTATTGAGCTCCCTTTTTTCGCCATGGTATGCCTGTTTTTTTTTTGTTTTCTTTGAAGAATTAGAATTCTATCTATGTTACAAAGCATACAAAAAGAAATAAATCACATGCTTGTTTTATATTTATATTTCTGTAAACCAACCGTGACAAAATGAGGAGAGAAAAAAAAAGTTCTGCCCTTTGATTGAATAGTAGTCAAAGACTCAAAGGCACAACACTAGTATATTTTGTAAAAACGCACACCGAAACTTAGAACTAAAAATTTCTACTATAGTTAAAGGCACAGAAAATGTCACTTCTAAAAACATTTTCATTATAGTTGAAGCCCCAAAATCCCAGATACGGCAATGTGCTAAAATATAATGATATCCTTCAACTTCCGTACAAGTCTTGGAAAAAATATCAATCTCTGAATAGAATAATGATTAGAAAAATATGACAAATACGATACTATTAACTAACTATATGAGCAAGCAAGATGAAAAATAAAAAATCACCAAAAAAACCCAATATAGAGAGAATAATAACTATAGAATTTTGAAATTCATTATTGATATGAACCTCAGAAACAACTTTCAGCTAAGCCCAATTTCGTCACAAAAGTTCAGAATTTTCAAATTATTGGTTTTCTTGCGCATAAAACATGGGAAAAAGTGGGCAAAAATTCTCCAAATTCAAAGTCGAAATGAAATTTGTTTTTTTTTTTTTAAAATAACATTCAATAAAAGTAGTGACATTGAATTGACAGAAAAAGTACACGAAAAAGATTGAATAAGAAAAAAAAAAAACCAAATGGCAAGAAATAGAAATCGGAATTACGAGAAAGAAGGCTTACGAATCTCAGAAACTGCGAAAGGAAGAATCTTTTGGTGTCGGATCAAATGAAACTCATTGCATCTTCATCGTAATAATTCGCTCCAAGAATTACGAAAGAGGTTTTCTTCTTCATCTTCTTCTTGTTTTTTTTTTTTTTTTTGGTAATATGGAAATGTGGGAAGAGACAAAAACAAAATGACGAAGAAGATGAGACTTCGTCAATGGGTTTCAGTCTTCAGCGTAGGCTCTTTCCATATCCATATATATATATATATATCCATATATCAATATATCTATATATGTGCTTAAACGTGGTACGAAGAGTCCGAGGAAACAGACTTCCTCCCTCCCTCTCTCCCTCTCTCTCTCTCTCTCTCTCTCTCTCTCTCTCTCATGTGTCTTTCTTCTCGCAGTGAAAGGTCGTTAAGAAAGATCCCATCCAATAAGAATTCGCCACTTCATCTTTCTCACTTTTGCTGGATTCGACCGAATAAAAGGTTTTTTTTTTTAATAATTAATAAAGGTCGCTTTGCTAATGGGAAATTTAGAACAAATTAGCCATACATGAATATTGAATGGTCAAGTGGCTCTTAGAGGTATATAAGTCTTTGTTTGTTTTATCGATTTGAATTTAAAATTTAAGTTTTATTATAATAAAAAAATTTTAAAAATAGTCATATTTAATTTTTTTATTACAGTAAAAATTTTTAACATAAAGTTATATTTTAACTCAAATTAAAAACTCAAATTAATAAATTAAATGAGTCCATAATTAATAAATTAATGATCAGAGAATGGAGATAAAAGAATAAAAGATAATTCCTACAAACAATATCACAACAATGTCTTTTCCTTTTACTGAAAAGGTAATATCATAGTACCTTAAAAAAAAAAAAAGTAATATGATAGTAATTTTTCCTAATAATGCATGTTAACAAAAGTGTTTCGTTTCCCTTTTTTTTAGGAACTATGTTGACTTGGTGAGAGAATAATATGCATTGACACTTGTGGGAAACATTGTTAACTTGTGATGCCTTGCCTTAAAACAATTATAAACTTTTTTTTTATTTTTTTTTTGCAGTGGAGAAGACTATACTACTCCAAAAGTAGCCCCTTTCAATTGCACTAAGAACAAATAAGAGAGAATTGTTATGAAAATTAAAAAAATGTAAAACTAAGATGAAAAATTTTAGAGAGAGAAGTTCATTAATCTTATGAATGCATATAAAATAAAAAGTTTTAGAGCTTTATATATAAGAAAATTTTTTACACTATTCACGGTTACTATTTACATAGTATTTACTATTTACGGTTACTATTTGCACATTAAGATTTTAACATGAACAGTAACTTTGACTGACTTGCATAGTAACTTTGACTGAGATGGACAACTACTATTCATACACTCCCCTTTAGATGTCCAACATTCATAATGCCTCATTTAGTGCTGAAACTTTGGACGGGCTGCCTGTGACCACCGAAAAGTCTGAATTTTTGCCCGATGACCGAACCCGAAATGCCCAAAAATTTGGGCTGCCCAACCCGACCCGAATATTGCCCATGGACGGGCTTCGGGCAGAGGATGCCTGCCCGTGCCCGGTCGGGCTGTCCGATGCCCGACCGGCTGCCCGATTTGTTTTTTATTATATTTTTATGTTGTATAATAAGTAATAAGTATTTGTAATAATTTGTATAATTACAATGTGTATATTACAATTTGAAATTTGAAATGAACACACGAACTATATAAAAAAAAATACTTCTTCATTGATTTTTAAATTTGTAATTCACGATTGCCTCGTTAAAAATCTTACCAAGAAAAACCCAATTGGGATAAAAACTTGGTAAGGAAAAAAGAGTGCAATCATTGTGGGACGAATTACAAATTTGACGAACTTACAAAGTCTATACAAGATTACAAATTACAATAAACACTATACAAATTAGAAATTACAAAGTAAATAAATATTTACAAATTAGAATAATAAAATTTAATTTGAAGCAGAAGGAGGATCGTCTTGAAAATTAAAAGTTAATCTATTAAATTCGTCGATCCATTCTTGGTTTGCCAGTGAGATTGTATCGTGTACGCATTGGTCGAAACGGTCCCAATCCTTGATGCACACCAAAGCTTCAACAATATCCTGCTGCAATGCGTTTCTCCGTTCTTCAAGTATTCGGCCGGTTGTACTGATTGCTTGTTCGGTTGCAACAGTGGAGACCGGGATCGAAAAAATATCCATTGCCAGTCGTGTTAGGATCGGCCAAGTTAATGCTCGTGCCCTCCACCACTCAACCAAATCAAACATTTCACTACTGTCTATAACTAAGCCCTCACT